TTGTGTTTGGAAGCGAGGGGGTGGGGGTGGGGGGAGGACCAGGGAGGATGATTCAACCTCTAGATGTTGCTGAAAACAACAAATCCTACACACTGTGCCTTTAAAGTCATAATGTTACAAGAATAAAGAATGTGTTGTCATTTTGAATTCACATAAACAATACGGCATTAACGAGGGCAGCCAAGCGATGTCAGGACCCCTCACCGCTGATTTACCTAAGAGGCTAAGCTAACTAGAGTTAGCTACCTGACGTTTGTCGGAAATAAATAAACCTCTAATATAATTTTATCCAGTTAACAAAGGCAGCGGAATTCGTTTGATAACTTGTAAGTTCATTTTAATGGTTTTAATAGATTTTTATGTTAAAGTTAGTCTAACTTGACGACACTTAAGCTGTTGATGGGTGTTGTTGGACCACAATGAATGGAAATAAGCTTTATGCTTTGTGTTATCCATTTGTGTTAATGTTATTGTGTATTATATGAAGTGCCATTTGCATGATGAATGAATGAATGAATGAATGAATGAATGAATGAATGAATGAATTGATAAGCTAGCTGGCTTTGAGTTTCCATCACAAATCTGGGAGTGGGTGTTCGAACATTGAGGCTACTTATAACCTTATCTATAGATAGAAATACAGCTCATGATGAATCGTAGGGATTGTTGCAGTTTGTTTCTTGTTTAAATAATGTTCTGTTGAATATGTAGACAGCATTAAAGGCATGTGTGAGAGGAAACCATACCTGGCTGTTTATAGAGTCTCCCTGCTGTCTCACAGAAAGGACAATCTTAACAAACACCTGTCATGTGATCATCTTGGAACAGCCTGTCAGCAGCACCAGTCAGGTCTCACAGCAGGTAAAATAATTCAATTTGTTTTAATTTGATTGTAAACATATATGGCTCTGCAATTCTGATGCACGTTACTTATATAAAATATGTCACTGTTGAATAAAAATGTAATATAAGTGAAACATTAAGCATCATTGGACACATTCTTTCAATAATATAATGTGATTTGATAAAATAACCTCATGATCTCTGGAATCAGTAATATAATAAACTATTTTATTCACAGTGCAACATATAAATAAACTGTAACTTCATATAATCTCCATGGAACAGTGAAGCTGTTTCACACAAGTGATGTTTTTGTGAATGTTAAGTTAAATTCCTTAATGTTGATGTGTTTCAGTGGTTCCTGCTCAWGTTGAAAAGATGGTGCTGATTAAAGAAGAAGCTCCTGAAGAATGGAGGCCTGGTGTGGACCAGCTGGACCCAGAAGCCCTCAACATAAAAGAAGAAGAAGAGGAGGAACCTTGGAGCAGACTGGAGGGAGAGCAGCTGAATGTGAAGGAGGAGACTGATGTCAGCAGGTTTTCAGTCACTGCAGTTACCTTGAAGAGTGAAGATGATGAAGAGAAGCCTCTGTTGTCTCAGCTTCATCAGCACCAAGTGGAGGACAGAGATCTTCCAAGCAGCAGCTCAGCTGATGGAGAGGACTGTGGAGGAGCAGAAACTAGCAGGAACCCAGATCTACAGACTCACAAAGACCATTCCAGCTCTTCAGAGACTGAACTCAGTGAGGATTATGAAGAGGACCAGGATGTGGACGATCAACACAACAACAAAAACAGAGGAATAAAAAATGGAGAGACCTACAGGAATGTTCAGACCGAAGAAAAACAGTTTCTTTGTGATGTTTGTGGACAAAGATTTAACCATGAGTCACGTATAACCTCCCACATGAGAATCCACACTGGAGACAAACCATTTCCCTGTGAAGTTTGTGGTCAGAGGTTTAGCCAAAAAAATAGTTTGAACAGACACATGAGAATTCACACTGGAGAAAAACCATTCCCTTGTGATGTTTGTGGACAAAGGTTTAGGCAAAAGTCTACTTTAAACTTGCATGTGACAATCCACACAGGAGACAAAGCATTTACCTGTGATGTTTGTGGACAGAGATTCAGCCGAAAGTATTATAAAGACACCCACATGAGGATTCACACTGGAGACAAACCATTTCCATGTGATATTTGTGGGCAAAGATTCAGCCGAAAGTCTTATAAAGACTCCCACATGAGGATTCACACTGGAGACAAACCGTTTTCTTGTGATGTTTGTGGACAAAGTTTTAGCCTTAAGACGAGTTTAAACGCCCACATGACAATCCACACTGAAGACAAACAGTTTCCCTGTGATGTTTGTGGACAAAGATTTAGCCGAAAGTAAAACGTAAACTCCCACATGAGTATTCACAC